CGCGTTTCCGCGTTTAAAACTTCGGCCTCAACCTCGCTATTAATATAAGAAATGTCATTTAAGTTCCATCTTTTGGTGTGCATAAATTCATGACTGAAACAAAAGTTACTTCTTACCTCGTAAATAGATATCACACTTGATTTCGGTTTTTTATTTTCCTGCTGTTTCTAATACTTCAACTACGTAGTTTGATACAAATTTGCATAAGCTTACATCGTATTGTGACTGGTTCTTCGTTAAATTTTTATTATTGCAGATTTATAACCAAGTTATCGTAACAATTATTGTAAATCAATTGTTATGGAATATAAAAATACCTTAGACTATTTTAAAATACTTTTAAAATTCTTTAAGTGGTATACGTATTCGAATACACGTATCATTCAATTAAAAAAAAATTCATTTATCATAACACTTTTATTTATTTTATTTTAATGCTCAGATTTTTATTTATAGTTATAGTTTTGAGGATTTCTACATTTTCTTTAAATTTCCTGTTGTATATTTCTTTCCCCTATGTAAAATTTCTATATTAATTTTATCTATATTACAATTATTTAGTGTGCAATGTTAGTGGAAAACAGAATTCAATCTATGGTATTTTAAGTCTGCTACATGTTCTTTTAATCTCACTTTCAATCTTCTTGTTTCCTCTATATAAAAATTTGTGTTACTGCAAGTGCACGGAATCTTGTATACAATGTTTTTCGTTTCTTCTTTCATTCCCTTACAAATATAAAACAATTGTACTGTACTCGAATGAACTCTACTGCAAACAGCTTGCATTCACTATATGTTCTCTGTATTTTAATATTCTGTAATTCAGTGTTACTACATTATCCTGTGAGAGTTAAATTACTGTCTATTGCAAAGACTGTACAGTATTATGTGAATTTATTATTATTAGTTTTCTTTTATAATACGTATTAAATTTTTAGCAGGATTCAGTTGTGTTCTACATGTCTATTTTTTTTCATAAAGCAATCCAACTGACCATGTCAATTATGTAGCTAGAAATTGTGTATCCGAAGATTTACATATAGTCCTATATTATTAGACTTAGACCTAACAAGTTGAGTCCGAATGCAGCGGTTCAATCCATAGAATATGACGTCATGAAAGACTACTGCACGCGCATTCGGTGCGCTGTAGCATGCCGTTTCTACTTGTATACCATGGTATCATTTATGCATACATATTAAAACCATTGAACAATGATAATTAGTTGGTGGACGGTTCGCGCCTGACCACGCGGAGTTTTCGTCAAATGCCTAATATGTAAATAGGGGCGTTTCCCATATAGTCCTCCCGGAAAGTATCTCCCCAACGTTGCCTTGCCGTAGCCCATCAAATCAAACCATGCTGGATCACCAGAATAATTCAGGAATGCCACGATCCTGGCTTATTAAAATTTGGAAAATCGAACAATTCCTCGCGAATAGTACGTCATTCGGCGAAGATTTAATCGAGTATAAATGAAATAATTAAAATCCTTTTATTGTAATGCGTTTATTTTGATTAATCGAGTACCCCTGGCACTGAAATTCATTCCTATTTGTTTTTTCAACGTTAACTGATGTGTCATTGCATTATTTTCGCCAAATTATATTCAAAGAATGTCAGTAAACATTCCAATTTGCAGACCGATTTCTCTTGGCGTGGTAACTGATGTTATGTCGTATATTTTAACCTATTTCTAATCTTCCAAAACTACAAATTGCCTCTATTTTATTTCTTTTAGTTATTTAGCATATGAATAACTCGAGAATCAACTTCAAGCATATATCTATTTCTTCTAAATATATAACTCAGTTCAAGTTAAATTATTTTGCTAATAACATTTGAAATTCGATTTACTAATACTGAAAAATATTAGTAAATTGAATTTCAAATTTTATTAGCAAATGCAATTCACTTGACTGTCTGAAATTAACAATGCTCATGATTAATTTGTATCGTAGAAACATTTTGCATTCCTATTACTGTATTTCTATCATCACAGTATCGTGTATACTATACACGATACTGTGATGATAGAAATAATAGGAATGTTGACCATTCATGTTGCTATACACTGTACAGTATAGCAACATGCATGGTCAACAATTCGATGCAGATATGGCCTATTAAAACATGTTTCTATGGAAATTGAATTTTAAATTATGAAATTTTAACTGTCGCTATAGGTTGTCAGTACTGTGTTGTATGATATACGTGTGAGAACCGAGGGGTTTAGTTGTCCCCACTTACCGGCGGCTCTGTCAGAGGATGGCTTTATAGGAGGGCAAAATAAAATTGAGTTGGGAGGTCAGTGAATAAGTTGACAGGTTCCCAAATGAATACACAGGTTGAACAAGAATAACACATTTAATAAACAACTATAAAATTGTACATATCAAAGGCTAAGGTGAAGATCTACAAAAATTCTATTCTATGTCGCGACAATGATTCGTCTTTCATATGAAACATCTAATCTCTATTCTCTAAGTTAAGAGAAGAGAGAGAGATCTCTAGAAGAGAGATTTCTCAGAGAGAGAGTATACAAATAGATATCCAAAAACAAATACCTCTAAGTTCCCGATCCGTAATATGGGTCGTTGGTGAAAACGTTCCTGGATCGTCATGGCAGTATGGCGGTATTGGTCAGTAGATGTGGCAGTCGATGTCCGCCTTGTGAATGTCCGCCTTGTGGACTGCGTCCAAACCCTCTTTATACTATTTTTGAGGGGGTGAGAACTATGACATCATTCATGATTTATACGCACACCTGTTCGTGTGTTGATGTCTAGACCTAGCTTGTACTGACAATTGACACAGAGAAGTTTGTTTAATTTATTGCTATCAGTGTCTAGAAGATATGATTTTATAATATAAATTTCTATAGGTTTGACGGCTCTCATCCATAAATTAACATTCATCTGACAATAATTTCTTTAACCTGGTCAACTATCTAGATATTGTTTATATCAAACGTCGCGTTTGACTACGAAGGAGGCGATTTATTGCCGTAACCACGTGTCACGTGCAACCAAAGAGGGGGTAAAAACATCTCTTATTCCCGTCTTGTTGATATTAACGTCTATAGAATTACCTTTAAACAAATGGAGGAGATTTCGTTTATTGATATACTAACGATTTTTTTCGAGGAGATCATCTCGGTCATTGACCGCAGAAGTCCCTCTTTTTCCCTTTTTACCTAATCACGAACTTTATTAGAAAAGTGATATTGTTCTAAAACAAAAGGGTTTTGGACCGTCACATACGTGATCCTTTGTTTCTGATTGAGCACAGTGAAAAAACCGCGCAGATACCGAACAAAAAAAGACGAAGCTGAAACATGCTCTTTTTGTCAAGTCCTTTTTGTAGTCCTTACAACGTAAGTTGGCAGTTGTCAAAACCAGACTAAATCACTTTTCAAACCGATTGCATGTAAGGAGAGACTGCTTTATTAATTGTAAATAATTGATTGTTTATTGCAAACGTGGAACATTGGGTATACCTATACCCCTATGAATGGTTTAAGAAATGGATTAGTCTGGTTTGACAACTGAAAACTTATGTTGGAAGAACTATAGATTATGTTGTTAATTTAGAAATTATCTTCTTATGCCTTAAACAATTAGTTTTGTGCAAAACGAGTATGCTAAAGAGAAAATATAGGATTTATGCAATAAATGAAATAAAAATTATTTTTTTGTGATGAATGCTGCTGCTTAGTTTATACCTTAATATCTTTACAGAAAACATGCAATAAAGTATTTCTATAGCATAATTTTAGAAGAGTATGTTAAAGAACAAAAGAATAAAAATATGGTGTAAGATCATTGGTACTTTCGAATCATGAAAGTCGATCACATTCTGCCAACAATAAGTTGGCCAAATCTAGTGTACAGAAATGAAGTCATTTAACTTGCTATATTTTCTATGATTATATATATAATTATTATGAACCATGTACAGTACAATATGTATAAGGTGATTAAAAGACTAAAATAATTTTATACATTTCTAAAACTAATAAGATGACGTACAGAATTAAGGCATTTATTTATAACAAAACGCATCAAGTTCTAAACTCGAATTTGGGTCGATGCGAGCGCCATTGGTGGTAAGACTAGATTGAAAAATTCTAAGCACTGCATTTAGGCACTTCGGCAACTGAGACGATGATTCGTGATTTACAAACAAGGACTGAACAACACTAGATGTAATGAAATCCCACAAGAAAAAAATATATGTATAAAATCTGGGAAACGAGGTGGCCATGATATCGACCAATCTCCCAAACAGTAAACATTTATTGAGAAAATCCGGTACCGTACCGATCAATCACTTTCAAAAAACCCACTACAGCGCATCCTTCTGTATCGTTTGTGGAATGAGAATATTTTCCAGCATATCCAGATAGACGAACTGTCCTCATGGAAAGAGGAGCGGTACACCACACTGCCAGACATTTCAAGTCGCTTGTAACGTTAGACATGAAACGTCGACTCATCACTTGAGGAAAATTGTTGTCCAGGAATGTCTCGTCTTTAAATTCGATGCAACATTTCTGCATTACGTAAGAGAAAATTTTGCTATAAATTAACGCTTCAATCGATTCTCTGACTAAAATGCTACATGCTTTCAGGTACTTTTTGAATCACCGTATGTATCTACAGAACTTTATATTTAACTTTCGCGCTTGTTTGATTAATCTAATTTTATTTAAAGAACTTAAGATGAGGAATTCCACAAGAAAACAAAGCGCGGATTTCGTCTCAACATTTGTGCTTTGGTTTTCTTGGATAAATACGACTCTTCCAATTCAAAGCTATTAAATTTGAAGTTTAATTGATGTAGCATATGTATAAGCCAAAAACTAATCGCAAGCTAATAAAATCTATGTTGACATAAATCATATAACGTTCATTTTAATCTATCCAAATAAATGGAAAATTATAGTAAATTTTTATAAAGCGTGTGTGTAGTACTTTTTAAGTACATATTGTAATTAAAAACATAACTAAACACACTTTTGCATAATTTTGAACTGGATTTATATATTTTATTTTACAAAACTTCAGATTAGCGAAATTTGACTTCAAACAGTTTTCCTTTATGAACATAATATAACATAATTTTATAATATGAAATTATTTTATGGCACTCATTAAAATGTCATCGTACATCAACGCAATTCTTTATTTTCTTTTCAATGTTCAATGCACAAGGCAGTTACACTCGTCTACAGAAGGTCACTTTGGACCAATATATATATTTATATACTGTATAGGTATATATACACATATATTTACAATAATTCCAATGAATGTTGGATGCATAGTTTTGCAGTTAGTGCAAACTGCTCTATGGCAAATGACACCAAGTTCATAAAGCTAGAGGTCTGGGTGCACTGAGCAAGATCATGCATTTGACTTGGTGGCGGTATTAATGACACGTTATCCCAAGTGATACACTTGAACACGTGACAGACAAAATATCACAATGAGTACAAGGAGTAAGTTTACCACCATGTAATGGAAGAGCTTCCACGAGTTCCGATGAATAATAAAAATGTTTCGATAACTTTGAATAAAGAAACAATCTGCCATTCGTAGGATCTGTTAATGTGTTGATGAATCTAATACATTCGAAACAGAACTTGGCCGCACAGAATGAGGAGAATGAGTTTCGGACCACCTCCTGGCAACACCCGATTCTTTTGCGACTTCTAATTCTTGCTTATAGTCTGAACGAGTAGTGGTAGACGCCGAATCTAAACTATGACTTGAACATAAAGAAACATTTGTACCACCATTTGTATTACTAACATTTGTATCCACTTTTGATTTTGAACGTAGTGTATTACGAAAACCTTCAAAAAAGTTTCTTTTCCCTTTTGGAGGACTTAATTGCGACTGATTAGATCTTCTCTCAAGTGGAAAAGAATGTTTCCTTTGATTATCAGCAATATTAACAGAATTATAATTTCCATGAGTTATTAGAGCTGAAGATTCAGGAATTTTCTCAGATGTAGAAACTGATGATTCCTGTTCATTACATCTAAGAGAATTCGCTGAACTGGGCACTTTTTTAAGTTCGTTTATAGAAACTTCTTGAGATCGAATTTTCTTATCACGATTAGGCTGTCGCAGAGACTTTGATGTGGTGGAATAACCAATTAAATCAGTGCTAATAGATTTACCAGTTTTATGATGAGCTGCAGCAGGATGAGAAAGAGTTTTTCGCAACGAAGGGTTCCATAAACATCCAAGTTCTGGTGCAGACCTATAGATATACAAACAAATACAATAAAAAAACAAAGTTTTATTATAAAAAGTTGAATATAATTAGAGAAACTTACAGCACATTATAAAATAAGAAATCCAGTTATTCAATATATTTATTAAATAATAGAAAGTACAATATTTTGTTGTAGAATTTTAGAAATTTATGTTAAATATATTATGTAAAATATAATTTTTTTTACAGATTGCATCGACTACATGCAAGTTATTCCAACTTACACACAATAGATGAAATCTGCAATAAATAAATAAAAAAATTATAGAAAATGAAAGATCGTTACAAATTTTTAAGCAATATTTAGGATTTATGAAAAAAAAAAAAAATACAATAAAATAAAATTTATGCTAGATAAAAAAAAGCAATGATTGGATGTTTTTACTTTCTGCATTTAAAGTAAATATTCATATTCATAATAACTACATTTAGAAATAGATGCAAAAGTAATTAAACTATCAACTTTTCATAATTACTTTTATCATAGGATGAGAGTTAAAGCTACTTAAAGTTAAATAAGATAATTAAAGTTAATATGCTCTCACTTACAATAAAATGCAGATTAATTTTTTGATGTAACATTTGATATATTTGTAAATAGCAAAAAGAAACATTTGGAAACAATACAGCTTTTGTGTAATTAAATACCAAAGAAAATAATGTAAGCAAAAATTTCTTCAAGTAAGCTGTAACTCTTTATATCTGTAATAATCTTAAAATTTTAAATTATTAACACAAAGTACAGAAAAAATAACACATTTAATCATACTTACATATCTTTGGTTAATTCCTTTTGATAAGCAATAGGTGACTGAAGAGCTATAAAAACAATACACTAAATTATTACTCAAATTTCACAAAATCAAAATACTTGAGAACACATTTGTTATTTACATTTAAATATTTAATAATAATAATATAAAAAAACAAAATTTAAATTAATAATTTTATATTTCTTAATATCTAAATACTTTTTATTTATTTAACTTTCCAAGAGAGATATGTTAATGTTATTCTAACAAACATTTGCATCAAAAAACTAATTAACAAACCCAACTAAATCATTAAATGCTAAAAGCACTTAGTTACCAACAACAAAAATATTCCTTTGAAGACAGTTAGTTTCAAAGCATAACACAAATTTTTAATGCATCCAATGTAATTGGCAATTATTTTTTTAAATTTTGGCTAGTTAGAAATTCATTTCAATTTTTAATTAATTTTAAATACAACATGTTTTTGGTAAATCTAAGCAATCTTTTGTATTATTCAATTTTTAGAAACTTAAAAAGTAAGTGAAAATACAAAAGCTAATAAATATATGTTATATTTATCTACAAATAATATACTAAGCACATGTTTATCAACATTTACAGTATCTTATATTACATTTAAAAATATTGTAAAACTTCAAATCAACAATATATAAATATATAAGCATTCCTTTGTTTATATATGATTGTAATTTCATATCTATGCACTAATTTAACTTTTATATTTTTCACCTTCATTCTTCATAGAAAAAAAAAATATAATTTTTCTTTTCTATGAAGAATGAAGATGAAAAAGAAAAATATAAAAGTTAAATTAGTACATAGATATGAAATTACAATCATATATAAACAAAAGAATGCTTTGCTGCTTTGCAAGCATATAAAAAATTTGCAAGAAATAATACCCATAAACGTACCAATGAAATGACATTTTATATACTTTACTAAAAATATTTCTTAGATCAAAAATATATAAAAAAACTGACATCTTTATTATTTACTTTAACAATATAAAGCTATTTTTATATTATATATTGATAAAACACTCACCTCTTAAAAAATCTAATTGAGTATCTAAGATATTGCGAATTTTATCAACCCATTCATTCTTTATTTCCTGAGATGGACACTGTACAATAAATTTAAGTCCTTCTTGCATTGGATCTTTAGATTTTAATACAAATTTGCAATCATCATCATCAGTTTCTTCTCCTAGTGACATTTTGTTAACCTGTAATATTTATAAAAATTATTAATAATTTAATACATTTACCAAAGGCTTCATCTGCCTTTCTTTGGTAGCTCAATCCCAGTTCCTTACATCTGTATTGCAATATATAATAATTCTACATATCAACAATATAAATTTTATAAATATTGATCATCATAAATAATATTTTTAAAATTTTGATAAAGATTAATCAATAATAAAACATTTGACTTTTTCAGAGATTTTAAAGTTTTCTGGTAACACTTTCTACATCCCTTTTGATTGTACTATTTCGTTTTTCTGAAAAAGTCTGCTTCTATTTGAACATTTCATGTCAGTGAATCAATCTTATTGCACTCATGATCAGAATATTTTCTTCTAGTAATTATCACTTTTTACTAGGGGAAATACGAACAAAATGACATACGGTTTTATTTTAGGTTTATAACTCTTTATTGGTAAATCAAATCACTGTCATATTCTACACCAATTATCTTTGGTTCTTTAGCTATGAAATATACTAAACATTTACAATATTAAAATAATAGAAAAAAAATATTGTTAGTTTAATTGAGATTATCCAAAATCCATTTTGTCCATAGTATATGGACAAAATGACATACACGTAAAAACTATAAAATTACCGACAAAGTTCACAAATGAAACGCTTGGTTCTTTTAAAAACGTCAGAGCAAGAAGCATGAGCCCAACAGAAACAATTTAAGCACCGTAACCAGTCTCCTCCAGGCTTAGATCGGGAAAAAAGATCATCGCAATATATGCGTGGACAGTCTTCATCATCATCATGAGAGTTATCAGGAAAATTTTCTTCTTCAAGTAACTTTTTAGTAATATTTCGTTTCCTTTTCTCTGGCGGAGCTTTGGACACACTTTTTTTATTTAATTGCCTTCATATTAGGAGTAGAAGTTAAAACTAAAGAGGTTTGTCGAGTCACGTGATTCGTTGCAAGTTTTTTGTTATGTGAAAGATAATAAGTTTGTAAATAATATGTAAGAAAGGAAATAAAGTTTTATACTAAAATTTCTTTTAAACAATAATGAAAAACTTTGTTTGGAAGACATTTTTGATAATTAATAAAACGTTAAGAGATTAAGGTAAGTTCCTTGACTAAGCTCTTATGGACTAAATGACAGGTATGTCATTATGTCCGTTGTCTATGTATGTCGTTTTGTCCATATAACGTTATAAAAAAACAAAATTATAAAATAAATACAAAGATGTTATTTTTAAGGGAAAAAGTTATTTAAGTGCAACAACAAATTCTTGAGAGTTGAAATAAACGTTACACAAATAGATAAAATAGTGAAAAAATTACCATCTATACAAAAAACTTGTTGCAAGGAAAAAAACTCATAACATATCACTTCTTGTTGTCGGCCATAACACCTGGGCGAATGAGAGGAGTGCGTTCACATTTTGACAGGTTAGTAAGAGCTGCTCAGATAACATGGTGTCATGTTCAGTTGCGAGCTTGAGACACCGCCAAATTCGAATTATGTTGCCTATGTCATTTTGTACGTATATGTCATTTTGTACGTATTTCCCCTAATTGTATCAAGCATTTCATCTCAAATAAGGAAGAGATAAAATAACTTCACACACCAAATTTTTGTATTCAGTACACACAAACTGCAATTACCATACAAAAATTTATCACCACCACACTTCTAGTAGCAACAATATATGAAACATACATCTCTTTCTATCTTCTATTAGTATAATGTTGAAACAAAAAATACAAAAACAAAATAAAAGCAATTTCTATTGTCAAATTAATCTTTAGCAAATGAAAAAACAGCAATATAAATCTAAAAGTGTACAAACTCATCTAAATTATTCCGATAAAATTTAGATATTTCCCACACTCTTTCTAGTTACCAAAACATTTAATTGAAGCTGGAAGGAAATAAAGTTATCTTTCATTTAGTGTGTGTATAAATTCAAAGAAATTAGAAATAACAACTTAATTTGGTAAACTATACATACTCTACATTTCATTGTGCTGAGCAATATTGCTTTGTTAGTACTAGTTTACCATATTTACTTGTGTATAAGACAATCTCACATATAGGTGTGACTTTAAAGTTCAAAATAAAGAATATTAGATTTATTAATACAATTCTAATTTTATTTCGTTTAATCACAAAATATTATCAAATGCATGTATTAAGGCAAACAACCATGTTTTCTTGATGCTATCACCTTTTTACTCAAACTTGCCCTCTTTGTTACAACTCTCATCGTTTTCACTCTCACTCCACAAAGCATCATCCTCTGATCCATTGAGTAAATTTGAAATGCAGTATTTTCTGAATGACTTTGCTATCAGCTAGAGGAATGCTTTTTCATGCAACTGATACCCAAGTAGCAAAACCAAAATTTTGCTATGTGGTGATTTTATAAATAACAAGGAACCACATTCAAAGCCCGAATAGTATATATACTAAATTGCCAAACGATCGCCTATATATGGCTATTATATGGCTAATTAAATGATTAGAATAAAGTAATTTGTCATTAGAGGTAGGCATTATGTCGTCCCCAGTCAGTGATGTATTTAACCAAGTAAGGTTATATCTAATCTAATATAATTCTGGAAGCGAAGACTCGCTCGGGGTCCGGGTGGCGTAACTGGCAAGCGCACCGCACAGCAAGCGGAGGTTGCGGGTTCAAGCCCCGTCCTGGGCCAGTTCTTTTATTCCAGAAGGTTCTAAAATTAATTTAATAATTTATTTATTTAATTTTAATTATTAATTTACTTAAGAGATGGCACCTAACGCCTACCTCTAATGACAAATTACTTCTAATCATTTGATTAGCCACATAATAGCCCGATATCTAGGCGATCATTTGGCAATTTAGTATAACAAGGAACCATTTTATGCAAATGAATGAGAGATTTCTAATTGATAGATGTAGGTTTAAACCAATGAACAGAGGAGGATGTGTCTTAGTTTGTTTATAGTAGATGCCTTTCTATCTTCTATTAGTCTGATAAAATTTAGCCTTACCATAAACAGACTGTAGACTGGTATTTAACAAATCATAAATAGCGACCGGTCATTCCTTTCCTCAAAGCTATTTTCAGACCAAGTGACATTCATTTTAAACTCAATAGCACCCTGCTAATAATAGCAGCATAAACTATACACAGTTCATAAAAATTATTGCAGAAATGCAAAGAATCCTTTGTTCACACATACAGGACAATCTAGGTTTTGAAGCAGTGAAAAATGAATAAAAACCTCATCTTATGAGAGTAAATATGGTATGTTGATTTTGTGCAACATCATGTTCATTAATGTTTTTGCAAGTTTTTCAATCTTAACACAGCATAATCATGCATTGGTACAAAATGTACAGCAAAGTTTGTAACATTAAGATCATATAACTAATCAAATTTCATAAAGAACAAAAATGTCTGGTAAAATATCTGGTGATATTTTCGTCCTTTATGTTCCAGATTAACAAACTTCTGTAATTTATTAAAATTTTAAAAAGCTGGATGAAAAAAAATACAAAAGAGTAATTCATACAGAAAATTGATTATTTGAATATTAAAAAAACTTTATTTTAACATTATGACTTCTTTTAAAATTATTAGCATAATAAAACAAACTTACTATAATTGATATGTCTTTCTGTATACTGAATTTATGTAATATAATTGATTAGTTTTTTTTATAACAATCTTTTGTAAAAAAAAATTATTGGTGCAATCTATAAACAGAAAAAAATTAACTTTTTAAATAATATGTTTTTACAACCACTTTTATTCCAGAATTTTCTCATTGGCTTTAGTTATGGTAAAATACTTTGTAAATGATAAACTATCATGAATTTTTCAATTTTTAATCATCATCAAATGCAATTTCACACATTGTAAAATATAATAAGAACTTAAATAGTTTATATTTTATATCAGTCATCAAATACAAGTTCTCTTTTAGTCTCTTAACATCTTTCAAAGAATTTTCTCATAAAAGTATAGTGGAACCTTGCTTAATGAGCAAAACAAATTGTAAAAAAATGACTCACTCAATGAGTAATAAGAAGAGGGAAAGTTCTGATTGTGCGTATGCTCCATCAGTCTGTGTTTAGCACAGTCTGTGTTTAGCACTCATTCCGCTAGCATCTTACTGTCGCTTGTAATCCACACATTTTTCCAAACTTGTGTTCACACACATTACATATAAACATCAACAACCATAGCCTGTTATATAATAAACACATCAAATGATATTCCAAATTCTTGGGCTATGTAAAGGCTATAATTAAATATTAGAAATTCATTAATTTGACTAGAGATAGGCAGTTATGCCGCTATCTCGTATTAAACCTAATAATTATAAATAATTAATTTTTAATTTAGACATTTCTAAAATTTAATTTGGAATTGGTCATTAAATTTAATACAAGATGGCAGCATAACCTTTATTATATATAGCTTTTACATAGCCCAAGAATTTGGCATATCGTTTGGTGTGTTTATCAGACATTATGCATGATTTTTTTTTATTTTCTGCAAATCAAATTTGCATTCCAGGTTGGTTCATTCTGCACTAGAAGAAAAGATTAAGATGATTCATGCTCCTTAACAATGTATATTGTATAATTTTCTTTGAATAAACATTATACATAAAATATTTGAGTATTTTTTTTGGCATGGAATACATTATCCTATTTTACATTAATTTATATGGAAAAAATTGTTTTGCTTAACAAGTGTTTCACATTATGAGTAAGATTCTGGAATGAATTATGCTCATTAAGTGAGGTTCCACTGTGTTTTTTTCATAACAGTGTTAATAAGAATATATATATAATATTTCATTTCTAAAATTTTTAATTTTTTTCTTGATTAGTTTTTAAATAAAAATGAGCTTCTATCTTAATTTAATAAAGCTGACAAATTTTATTTAGTAAAACATCAATTTCATCATGAAATGTTCATTAAATACAGTATAAATCCATATAATACTAAATTCTTTGCTAATTATGAACAACACACATTAAAATAAATAATTACCTGAAGATGATTTTTATAAATATAGACAGGATTAGAAAATTGGGTTTTTTGGCCAACAGCTTCACTAAAAATAATGATTTGCTCAAATAGGAAAACTTGACGTTCTTTCATTTTACCACCTGTGCTGGCATCACTGACTTGAAGTATACCTTGTAATAGAAGTTTACCCTGAGCTGTAATCTTTCCCTATAATAGAAATGATAAAGATGTTTTAAAAAAATTTTAAATTTTAATTTATATACAAGTTATTTTGATCAATAATATCTAATTTATTTAATTCATATCAATTCACATAAAGTATATGTAATCTCTCTGTGTTAATCATTCATCATAACCATTACATCATAAACTCTAAATTTCAGATTTATTTGTAAAATTATCTTAAATGAAAATATTCAAAGATTTGGATGTAAAAAGTTCATGTGTCTGAGTGNAAAAAATCTTTATTGTTCACCTTGTATTTCTGATATACAAGGTGAACAATAAAGATTGTTTTCTTCTGAATAAGTTTCCTCAATCCACTGAAACCGGACACCAGTACAATAAGTCCTAGTAGACATTTATATAATAAATAGTATGATAAGGACACAAAGGCATACGGTTTTAGATTTATTCATAAACAAAACAAAACCTTCCCAATGCTCTTATAATACCTGGATATGCTAATAATTCTACACATTATTCTTTACTTTTTAATCTTATAAATTATATTAACAGTTTATAGGTTTTACTTAGGTATTGTAAGATTTATATAAATATTTAATTTATTAAATTTAATTAATTCAATTTATATAAATAATATATAGAAATAGATATACACTTACATCAAAGCCTTGTAATCTACCAACATTCATCATATCATTTGCAGCTTTAGGTACAATATGCATTATATGGACGGCTTTTCTCAAATTTTGTGCTTCATCCTTCAAACCTGCCTTTTCTGTATATTTCAGTATATCCTGTAAAATTTAAGAATATTAGTATTATTTCTATTAACTTTTAAATGTTTAGAGTAACTACAAATTAAAAATGAAAGAAGAGTAAATAAACATTTCTTCTTTAATATAAAACACAGAATTGTATAATTCCAATAAACTGCTAAATTGAGAAGATCAAGTACTTTTTTAATTACTAAAACATTTTTAACTCAATAAGAGTTATCATCGGTACACCAAACATTACACAAAAAAACAGGGTTTTTCAAATTGAGGAGCCTGAACTTTAGTTCATTTTATTTATTTGCAAATCACTAGAGTTGCAAATAAATAAAATGGGTCATGACAAACTGAAAAAATTTTCAAAGAAATAGTGCTAATATATTCCAACATTTTGAGTATATTGAAGGGTTTCAAAAGATGTTAAAGCTATGTAACTTAAACTTAAAAGTGATCAACCCACCTATGATATCTTTCCAACTTTGTTACAATACACAGCTAAGAACTACATTGTCAATGAAGATAATTTAAAAGAATTAAAACTCAAGATAATGTCACATCTTTTTCACAGTCTTATCTCAAAGCTTTGATAACTATTTTCCAGAGGAGAAATTTTGAAACTGAAAAGAAAAGCTTTTGGACAAACAAATTTTTAAAATTCCAAATCAATAATGGAGTTGAAATTTGATCCTGAAGAGGAGGCTGAATTGCTGTATCTTAATAGTTATTTACACTGAAGAATGATCTCGAGTAATTAAACTTGTTGTCATTTTGGGTTAAGATTAAAGGAGAATTTCCATTTTTAAGTAAAAAAGACTACCTTGATATTATTATCTTTCACACTGCTTATTTATATGAACTAGGATTTTTCATGTTAATTAAAAATGAAAAGAAACAAGATCAACACTTCACCAGACAATGCTACTTATAAACAAACAAATACCCTCATTACATGAAAATTTTTAAAAAATGGTAATAATTCAACATTCTTCTTAATAGATTCAATTAAATATGTAATAGGATGTGGAAACTGGTATGTTGAACATGAGAAGTCCTAAATTGGACTGATAAGTGTTTTTTATATTGGATCAAATAAGAAACTTGTCCCAAGAGATTCAATATCCATAATACAAGCAAAGATGTGCAGACTGAAGAGGAGATTGATAAGAATGAGAGATCCTAGTTTTGTAATATATATGGTGAAGGTAAGCAGGGAGTTCTAATACAATCAATTTATGCATTAAGATTGTGTTCATCAAGTTTATGCAAAATGGGGCCCCATACAAAGATGCTCTACTGCACTGATGGCAGAGACACTGTACTGTACCTTTGGCCAAAAGAAGGAAGAATAAGTAATATGTAGTGTTAGAGAATCCATTTTCCACTTAATTACTGATCCAATTGGATTAACATGATTTTAAAAGCCATATATTTGGAGAAGTTTAAAGTGACAGTAAAAATCCATTGTTACTACAAGCCAAGAGATGTTTATTTTCATAAACTATGTTCCCAAATCATATTTTCCTTAGGGATCCAATCTTTTCCCTACCTTATCATTCTTCACAGATGTTTTTACTTTGTAAATTCTGAGTAATTTTTTCAGTATATGTATTTTGTATGTTGTGTGTTTGGAGCAGTGATGTATGTGATTATGGCTCGGGTATAGTATATTTTGTGTGCTGTTTTCTGTGACTGTCTGAGGTATGTATGTATGTAGTAGTTTTTGTGTTTGTATACAAGCTTCTTTGATGTATTATACATCTATCCCTCTTTTTATGCAGTGTATTTTTAAACAATTCTGAAATAATGCAGTTGACAAAATAAAATTAATCCTCTTTTTATGCAATCAATTTTTTTTATAAAAATCAAACAGTTTATTTCAGGGGTCGGCAACCTTTTGAGTCGGAAGAGCCAAAATTACAATTTACAAAATTTCAAAGTTTTTAAAGAGCCACAAAATTTTTTCTTGCCAACAATAAATAGTACTCGCATAAATAAAGTTTTTTGATAAAAAAAAAAAAATCTATTTATTCATAAGAAAAAATATCTATTTATTCATATATAAGTAGTGTTTTTCACAACAAATTAGATAATAGAAACATCCGACGACGGCGTCATTCGAGAGCTTCCGACGGACTGACGACAGTGACGACGCGTGTCACGGGGGAGGGGTGCGGTGAAAAGCGAGTACAAGTGGCTGAGAGATAGAATCGGTGCCTAATCCTCAATCGATTCAGAACAATTTTTAAATGTTTTTTTTTTTTTGATAAAATAAATATTTGCGTATGGAACTAAAGAGCCGCAGCTTCACATCCAAAGAGCCGCATGTGGCTCGCGAGCCGCAGGTTGCCGACCCCTGGTTTATTTGAAAATTTTTAAATTTAACTTTTTGTTAAAATTGCATTATTGTTAAAAATTTTATTCTTTTTGTTCAAATCACAAGTTTAAGCCTGGTACAGTATTATATATACATCAGAGAATACTTATGTGTTGATTTTACATTTCTTACACTGCCTTGTTTTTACTATATTAATGTACAAATAATTTTAATGATAAATGATGTTAGCAGAAAAAAGCTCTTGTTTCTTTTATAAATTGCAATATAAATACTGTAGTCATTGTTATTATATTAATCTATTAACTTTTATATTGAAAGAGTAGGTATAACAGAAAACTATCTATAAAGATCTCCTCAGTACCTTCCACTAAGGAAAAACTACATCTAAACATCAATCAACAACAAAAACTGGTAATTTGAGAATTTCATTAATAATATTTTACCAGCATTGATAATGTTGGTAATATCCACACCTTAATATTTCCATCCATAACAAATAGAATTAGAACACTTTTGAATCAAAACCAATTGTGCATTGTGCACAATGATTTTAACATTCTATATTACATATATAGAATATATTGTAATTGAATGCAAGAATAGACAAAACACAGAATTACATCAATAAATTCAGACTTACATTTTTTGTATCTTATTACAGAAATAAGGAATTAAAAAAATATACATATTATATATAATCAATATTATAACAATAATGACAATCTTTTCACTGATTTAGTTTCTTTTTGAATTTGATTCAAACAGCACTGAATGGAATTAAAGAACATGTATACGATTTGACTAGCTGTTACCCGCAACTTCACCCGCGGAGGTTTTGCAAGCAAACCCCATTTATATTCAGTATTTCAACAACCATAGAAACTGTTATATAACACCTACTGCCAAGAATGATGAGAATTGCTGAGAATCAAACAAACTATTTTCAATTTGATCAATTTTCTGGAACGTTTACAATCGTTCTATAATTGAACTGATACACAATAACAAATTCAAATTTAAAAAGGTTCGAACAATTAGTTAAAAAATAGAAATATATAAAAATATTTATAACAATGTCTAAAATGTTATTAATTTAATACACTTAAGTACTTAATGAAGACTAAACGTAACAAAAAATTGCATGTAAAATAGTACAGTAGAAGCCATTCTTCCGGTTAAGCCTTAATGCTCTCCCTCTCCCCCTACTGGAGAATTTCGAAAAATCCCTTCTTAGTGTGCATTCCCATGGTATACCCTACTAAAACACAGATAAAAACAAAAAATCGCATCTAAAATAGTACAGTAGAAGCCGTTTTTCCAGTTAAGCCTTAATGCTCTCCCCCGCGAGGGAATTTCGAAAAATCCCTTCTTAGTGAGCATTTTCATGATGTACCCTAACTGTGTACCAAATTTTGCCTCTTTAGGTTCAGCTGTTTGCTCTGGGCGATGATGAATCAGTGAGTGAATGAGTCAGTCAGGACAAGCAATTTTATATATATAGATTAAGATCAATGTCATGCTGTAAATCAGTTCATCTTCTTAGGTGGCAAGATACATAGATTTTATAGTAAAGCAAATTTTGTTTTTTATTCTCTAGAATTGTAGATACTGATTCTAAAAAATCTTTAAACTCTGATTAAAATCCAACATTAAATTTACTTTAAATATATTCATACTAGCTGTATCTGGCCATCTGTTGCTGTGGCTCAAAATGTATCTATTATAAATGTGTAACACTACACACAGAAAGGAATTTTTCAAAAAAATCCCTTCTTAGTGTACATTCTCTTGACATAACCTATTAAAACGCAATCAAAAATAAATTCAATTATTAAAAAACCACATCTAAAATAGTATAATAAAAGCCAACTTCTTCACAGTAAGCCTTAATTTTGTCCCTTTCCCTCGCGGACAGATGCAAGAAACATTAAATTACTGTGGTGTATTTCTCTTGGGTTTGTGTGACTTTCAATGAACGAGAGGTTAACCGGGAGCTGAGAGACGTCACCTAAAACCACACATGTGCAAATATCATGATATCGGGGAGGCTTTAGGTGATGTCTGGAGCTGAGCGGCTGCAAGCGACGTTGTAGCTTTGGTGGAGAGGTGTATATCGCTCTTCTCTCTGTTCACCAGTACTTTCTCATGTTTAACAGTGCTTGATGTATGAGGGGGAACCCAAAAATAACCGGATTTTTTGTATAAAAACTTTATTTATTAACTTTTTTGCAAAATTTCTTCAGTCACCTTCTAAGTACGCTCCATTAGATGCGATGCACTTGTAAAGTCTTTTCTCCACTGTTTGAAGCATCTCTGGAACTCTTCAACCTTGATATCATTCAGTGCCTTAGCAAAGCTGTTTTTACTGCCTCCACATCATCAAAATGATTCCCTTTTAGATTTTTCTTCATTCTTGGAAACAGAAAAAAGTTGCACGGGGCTAGGTCTGGTGAATATGGAGGGTGGGGAATAACAGGCCATCCTCAAGAGGCCAAATAGTGGGTCACTCGTAAGGCCATGTGCGCAGGGGTGTTGTTGTGATGAAGGAACCAGTCACCTGATCACCAAAGTTCTGGTCATTTCCTTCGCACAGCCTCTCGCAGACGTCTTAACACATTTTTTGGCAAATTTTTTCAATGTTTTCATCGTTTCAAGATGTTGAAGTAAGCCCAGAACTTCACAGGCG